TATGTTTAAAGAGAAATTGTGCTGCACACTGCTGAGAAGTCTGAAGGATTGGATCATCCTGCTCTGTGGTCATGTCACTGACACCGAGGTGTCAACCTCCTACAGCTTTACCGTCTGCATCAATGCATTATTAATACAATGTACAATTCTATACAGTAATGACTGAAAAGTAAGAAGTGTACAAGAAATAATGATTGCAAGATGCTGCATTTTGTGTTGCATAAGCGTAAGTAGCATTAGAGTTGTGAAATGCAGAGCAGTAAAGCCCCGCTAAGCCTGGCAGCTTGTGTAACTCTAAAAGTCACTCCAACAACATGAAAAAAAAAACACACAAAAAAACACTTTCTGATTTAAAAAAAAAAAAAGAAACTGATTCAACCTCACTGGACTGATTTCCACCGACGGCGACGTCATCGCGACACACAGCTTTCATCCGAACAGACCGCAATGTAATAACCAAGCGTCCCAAACCTGCAAAGAAAAATTCCATTTCCATGTCATTATCTATTATGAACACTATTTCAGTGATAGTCAGAACAATCAGGGGGAAAAAGGATATTAGCATTTCATTAGAACACCTCCTGCCTCTCACACGCTGACTCGCTCCTGGTTTTTGCCTGAAAGAGACTTAAGTTAAGAAGGCAAAGCAACAAACTGGACAAACTGGACTGCTGAACTAGTGCAGATGCTTTTGGCAGTCGAAGCAGAAACAGAATATTTAAAAGACTCATTGCCAGCTGTTATTTTAATTTTTTGTGGTGCATGAAACTTTCAGAATGTAACAAGAAAGTCTTCTGTCTTTATTACGATAACTCAGAAACTCATTCTGTGTAATAAGGGAGATATATATTATATCCTTAGAACCGTTTACGATGAACTTTCACTTTACAATCCAAATGCTACACATACATACATTTTCCCCACTACATGTGACGCTTTCTCAGACAGTCTTTTCCTACAAGCAGCTCAACATATCCAAAAAAACCCCAAAACAAACACTAATACAACCAAAAAACAACACATTACATGACAACCTCATCATAACCCACTGATGTGTTGATTGAAACATCTCACAGACGTCACAGTGAGACGTCAGATGGACTAAATGTCACTGAGGCAGTTCCAGTAATGTCATACAGCATTTTAAATAACCACAGCATAGCTCATATATTATACAGTTTGTGGGTGGAAGCGGACTTTGAAAGCCTCCTGCACATAAATAACGACGGTGAATGAAAACGTGAAACACTGGGATGGACTGTGAACCGATCTGTGTCCCACTGAAATACTAAATGTTCTGGAGTTCACCTCCCGCCTCGCCTCCTCTCCTCGTCTTCTCTCCTCATCTCCTCTCCTTGCCTCCTCTCCTCGTCTCCTCTCCTCGCCTCCTCTCCTCGTCTCCTCTCCTCGCCTCCTCTCCTCGTCTTCCCTTTGATGTGTTCGTTTTTCATATCGTTTTATGTGGAAATTAACAAAATGTTAAAAACTGCAGTGAGCTTTGCAGTTATATTGGGTTAATGTTACTTTGGATTTTGACAGTTTTTATACTGATGTAATAATAATATGTGCAAACTGAGCTGTGAGTATCTGCTGCTGGTTGAGATTAAATGAGAAACGTCTGCTTGCAGCTTGTTATGTGGAAGGTTTGTGTGTTCGTCTCCATCTCCTCCGCTCTCCTGCAGGTGGTAATTAGAAGATTGGCTGCCACCTGTGAGCTCCTGAAGAACAGATGATTGGCTCACACGCTGGCCAGTTATCCAATCGGGACAGAGGAAGCTCCTTTAAAAGCCCTCTACCTCCTTTGCTCTTGCTTTGCTGTCATTTGAATGCTGTTGTCAGCTTGGAAGGTTTGTGGTGGGAAGGTTACCAGCTGAGGTAAGACTGGGCACCTTTGGTACTGCACTTGGTTCTGGGTTGGTGCCACTACTGTAGGTTTTGTTTTTCCATCAGTAGTAGATCAGACAACCAGGCCTTTTGTTTGTTTCTTTCTTTACAGAAAGCTCTGAGTTAGGCCTTGATTTGTTATATTTGATTTCTCTTATTTGGCACAACCCCACAGCTGACCCTTCCTCCTCATTTTGTTTATTCATTAATTCAAAACAACTTGTAAATAAATGCTTTTTTGCTTCCCTGCCATCCATCCATCCATCCTGTGAGTTCTTCCTTATTTGATGGTCAGCGTTGTGTTATTTTGTGCATCTTGTAAGCAGGAATGTAACACAGCTATGAAACACCGTATGGGAGGACTGCAGGTCTGACTGAAACGAAGCTTTTCTCTCCAGCAGCAGCTCCTTTGTTAAAAATATGCAGGAGGATTCTAACGAAGCAGAGTTTTGTTATGATGAATAAAACATCGTGATGATTAGAGATGGAGGAGATTGAAATCTACAGTGAGAAATATGTTTTTATTAAAAACAGAAGAGTACAGGCGTGTGGTCATGTGAACAGGACTGATGAGCAAAACTTTTCATGTCAAGTGATAAACACACTTGATGAAGGTTCATTTGGGCTGAAAAATAAAAACACAGGACATGTGACCACCTGCATTAGCATAAGAGCTGAGAGAATATTATTCTACTGCAGTGAAATCATGCAGCAGGACGAGGCTTTAAAAAACGCTGCGTGTCTTAAAGTTCTCGTCTCCTCGATCAATGACCATCGATCGGCTCTTGAACGCTCGCTGCTCATTATCTGCGTTCACTGAAGCTTATCCAAATGGAGTTTACTCTGTCTGATGGAGCTATTGATGCTGTTTTATCTGTTTATTTAAAAGCAGAGCTGCATAATGACTGGAATGGATCCTTCTCAACCGTAAGCTTCTCACTTCATTTAAGCAAATACTGGTCACTCAGAGGCATGAGCTCAAGTAGGAGCAGCCAGTGGAGCTTTATTTGCCCTGAGGCTTGTCTCTCAGGCTACATACAGGTGGAGGGAAGTTTCACATGCTCTCAACAGACTGCTGCAACCACTGATCATGTTGCTGATTTCATGTGAGCTGTGCAACGGTGTCTGAGAGACTGCACTGACTGGATGTGAGCTTTTCTGTCTGGATGCACTTGAAATGAATGTTTTTTTTGGCAAATAATTACAATCGCAGTGATTTTGGGATGAAGAATTTAACAGGAGAACTGGGTAATGCAACAGTTACTTTAAAGAAACCTTTATGTGGCGCAGTGTTGGACAAAGCAGCTGCTTTACCAGTTTAATTACATTTCTAAGTAACATGGTGCAAACACCGCTGTCTTCTGAATCAAACAGGTTTTTTAGTAGTGCAGCTCTTTTAATAAGTGGTGTGGCAGCATGTGTGTGCGAGCAACACTTTGCCAAACATTCTCTGAAGCAACGAGCCAGCAGAGCTTTCAATGATAAATTAAAACTAAGCATCCCTACCTGACGCACATACAGCAGCGTGGCTTTGGTCCCATATTGAGCCCCTTTGTAGCAAATTAAAGTCTTACAGATTGAGTCTTTTGAATTTCAGCTCAAAATACTACAAAGATGGTTCCTTTCACCACGACTATAACCCCTGGTTTAGGGGTTCTACATGGGGGCTGCAGTTGGCTCGGTGGTTAGCACCGTCGCCAGTGCGTGACCCGGTGAGGACACCAGCATGGAGTCTCCATGTTCTCCCCGTGCAGCGTGGGTTCTCTCCGGGTTCTCCGGCTTCCTCCCACAGTCCAGAAACATGTTGAGGTTAATTGGTGGTTGTAAATTGTCCGTAGGTGTGAATGTGAGTGTGCTTGGTTGTCTGTCTCTAAGTGTAGCCCTGTGATAGACTGGTTACCTGTCCAGGTGAACCTGCCTTCACCCTGAGTCAGCTGGGATAGGCTCCGCCCCCCATGACCCTGGTGAGGATTAAGGTGTAGAGATGATGGATGGATGTTTTAAAGGGGCTGTTTGAGTGTCTGTAGCTTTAAATGCAGCTGAGCAGCTGCTGTGTACGCCCCCTTCAGGAAGAAGAGTGTCTCTGCACCTGTGACAGTGAAACAGTTGATCCCCCCTCGGCCATGCATGAGTGTCAGAACAGGAGTTTCTCTCACTTCTAGCTTTCTCTCTGAACCATTATTCCACCTCGAAATATTGTCGACTTCATTGCTCAACTGTTGACTTTAACTCAGACGTGTGTGTTTGTCATGATGTTATAACAATCAGTGTTTTACCTGTACACAGCAGCAGTTTGGAAACTCGCTGGTTAAAACGTCGTCTTAACGGCCTGCATTTCAGCCACTTTTAACACGTGTCTGTTGGTTGATACATAGAAAAACTAAGATATGTAAATGTGAACAGATATATTGGGAATTCAGATGCATATATATATATATACACACACATGAGCACAGAAACAGGAGGGCAGCTACCACTTGCAGACAGTTCTCAAGGCTAAAGTGTAAATTAAAGCATTTTCTGATAAAATATATTTTAATCTACAGTTTCACTGAGTAAATGAGTAAATGAAAGATCAAACTACATGTATGTTGAGGTGTAAAGTGTCTCTTCTCTCTGCATTAACTTAGTTTGAACTTTCCAGACAATGGATTGTTATAGAAAGGGGGAGAAATTAGGAATAAGCTGTAGTTGTGTTGCACGTCCGGGCTGAACTCTGGCTGAGTTTGCCCGTACACAGATGCCATTGTTTAGTTCAGGTTTCTTAGCAACAAAAGCAACACAGACATCAAGCACCAAGGGATCTGAGCTGGAGCCTGTCTTCAGAGGTAAACTGGTTGTATTTTTTAAAACTTATTTTCCACGTGCATTTCTCTCCGTTAAGACACAAACATCCTTGAGCTTTGAAGTTTAAACTTGATGAAGTTGGACTTGTGTGCACCGGGGTCCTTGACAGGTTTCCAACTGGGTTTTGTGTTTTGTTTTTTTAGCATGAGTTGGTCACAGCTTTGCAGTCAGAAACTTCTGAATATTAAGGTTTTGGTATTTCTGTCACACCAAGAGCTTTTCATTCTCTCCTTCAGACTCCGACAGCACTTCCCAGCCATCAGTCAGAGATGTTGACAGCACCAGACTCCCGGGGAACCACAGCAGAAAGGAGCTGCAGTCAAATAAATCAAGTGCCGTTTAAAAGCAGTCCACGCTTCGGGGCTTTGAGTCACCACTCGTTCTTCTCCCGGCACAACCCTCATCCCCACCGAGTGAGGCACATTCAAGGTGAGCGGAAGAAACCGACTGTTCTGAGTTGATTACATGTTTTTATCTGAGCTCTGCAGATGTTTTGGACATTTATTTAAGATCAGTATTGAAGCACTTCCTTTTCTTTCCATTATTATTATTATTGGACGAAGCAAAAAGCAGTTATTGATATTTTACTCTCTGTTAAAAGACAGGATCATTTTGTGACCCCGCCTGTGGAGACCTTCCACCCGACTCTGCTCATTCCTTCAGCTCTTAGCATCTGTCAATAGATTACTGATTTTATATTCATTTGAGCGATTGATCTGGTTCAGGACCAAACAGGCACTTTATGGTCACTTACATGGATCAGTATTGATTAGAAGCTGGTAAACAAGCTTAGAGACAGCAGCTGGTTTAAGCTGAAATGTGATTTTCTTTTTAGTTTAGAGAGGTTTGGAATAGGATTTGAATTTTGCTCAATATTGTCTTTTTTTGGTTCGTTTTGTAATTAAATCTTGTGTAAAAATGAAGCACCAGAGTGGGGTTTATTTTTCTTTCACCATATCATTTTGCATCATTTCACCTATCACTAATTCTAAATGAATAAAATATATAATTTTTGTTCTTATTGCTTTCAGCAGCTGTTTCAAATAAAACCTGTTGAACTGTTCTCAGCATGAGGTTGTTCTGTATTTTATTTTAATTGGAACTAAACACGACGCACGTCTGAGGCTGATGGGAGAAGTTTAGCAAATATATTAAAAAACATCTTATCAAATTTGGCCTGATGACTGTAGAAGATGAAAGTGAATCAGCGCCTCACAGGTGGACAGAAAACGCTGTAAAATGTTGAAGGGATTATTGAGAGGGCATAGAAAAATAAAACCTTTACAAGGACAACATTACAAAGAACGTTCAAAATGAAACAGACTCCAAAAGCAAACGCAGTCGATGTGAGAAGGTTAGAAAAACGGAAGTCTACTTAAGTGGATTTTCAAAAAGTTTGTTACTGGGGACAAACTTCTGCCTCATTATTAATTTTATTTCTGCCTTCAGAGATCATAAGAGTTCTGCACAAAAGTTTGTTGTGGAAACGCGAGCATGCTGTCGCAGTGTTCTGGCAATTAGACTAAAGTGAGACGAGTTATTGTCGGAGATGAAGCGAGGAGATGAGGACAGGACCCAGTGCAAACTTAACTGACGGTTTACTGGAAACTGGCTGAACTCCTGCAAGAGGTGGAGACGGGAGGAGGAAGAGTGACAGAACTGAAGTGAATTTAAAAAGTCCTCATTCTGACTGGACGGCAAATAGATCTTTGGACGAGAGCAGAGACACGGAGATTGAGAGTTAAGTGTTTTGTTTGTGTGGATAAATGGCAGTGATGGAGAGAATAAAGTAGCGGGAGTAGCTCGTGTTCACGAAGGGGAGTGGACACATTTCCTTTATTTAACGTAGCTCCATTTCAGCAATAACCCAAAATTTCCATCTTCTGGTGCTGCTGCAGGAAAAGTCACGGATACCATGTGTTGCTGTCCTTAAAAAATCAAGCCTTTTACCTCGTGAACATGTCTACATGGTGTTTTTTAATGCTAGAGGACATCTCATGAACTAAATTAGCAGTCGGCTGAGCATCCATGCATCCGTTGATCGGGTCACAGAGGCAGCAGGTCATTACAGACGTCTTTTCCTTGGCAATGCTTTCCAGTGTGGAGTGCCAGATATATCGGCCACCACGTTGGTATCGGCTGATATTAGTGTTTTTTTTCCCCATATATCGATATCTGTCTGATGTAGAATGTGGAAAAACCGATGATTGTCTAACACCAGCTGTTGCTGCTGATGTTTTTATTTAAATGTTTCTGGACTTTAACGTGAAGTATTTTAAAATATGTTTAAATATGTTGACGTGATAACGAAGACTATGTGGTCTCATTTCTTTAAAAAAGTTTTCACGTTCTCACAGTGCTTACTTACACTCATTTTTCAATGTGAACAAAAGTTGAATATCGACATCAGTAATATTGGTTATAGGCGATATCAGAAATCTTAGTATCAGATATCGATATCGGCCAGACGTTTCAACATCGTGCATCACTACTTTCCCTCCTGGGGGAGGCATTTCCAGGCCAGATGAGATGTATTAAATGTTCAAGGAAAACCTCCAAAGTCTCCCAGGAGGCATCTGATTGGCTGAGCTCTTCTAGCTTAAAATCGTGGCATCAGACTTCCAGGCTTTCACATGAAACAAAAAGGAACCGATCCTCGATTAATGTGATGATTTTGCACGTCCAGCTCGCTTTGCTTCCCCGGGGTAACGTTTCCTCTTTGCTGCCTCCACTTGAAAGTTATTTGTTGGCGTCTTAATAAACCTTCTACTTGAGATGCAGTGCACTAATTAGTTCTGACAGAAGCTCACAGCTGCTTTTATTCTGGTGTCTTGATATGAAAAGCCATTAACGCGCTCTGGAAGTTCCTGAGCTTAGCTATGATTCACGAGTGTATGAAATATTTCACAGCCGGCTCTTTGGGCACCTGGAATACCAATCTCTTACATGAAAGACACGACTGCATTATTGGTAGAAGAGATGGTTTCCTCTCTGACGTTATCAGGAAGTTGCTGCCTTTAGTCTCAGCGGGGAATCTGCTCGCTGTATTTTCTTCAGGGTGCAGCTTTGATTGTGCCGTACTGCTGAAGCGCTTTTCCTTTTTTGTTTGATTGGCTGGGTGATTATTGTACCGCTCTCCTTTCCACAGGTCTCAATGGCAGACCGATTTGCATGGTGCGAGATGACTGGTTTGTCACCTCGTCATTATTTCCGCATCCACTTCTCAAGAGCCACGTCCTGAAGAAATCACCCGGGCCGGCGTTTCCTCCTGCTCCAAACCTCCACGGAGCGAACAAAAACAAATCAGGTGAGGCCTGAGCGCGTACGGACCTCATGCATTTTCTCATTATTACCTTTCTGAAGCTGTAATTGAGCTTTACAGTGACGGTGAGTCATTTTCCTCCTATTTTTCCCAGCACTGTTTTCAGAAGCCTGGAGGGATGAACTTAAAGAACTCGCTGCAAAAGTCAGCCTGTCTTCTCGAGCACAAATGGAGAAAAACGAGGTAAGTGCTGCTGTAGCTGCTGTAATTTGAATGAAATCAAGGTAATGACACGGTTGTTGCTCAGCTCCTGTTTTTGCTTTATGCTATATAACACACCTCTGTGCATTAACATTTCAGTCCAATGGGATAATGGGCACGTTGTCAGCAGTAAAGATCGCCTATAGTGGACTTTTCATGTACTATGTGACAGAAAAAAAGCTCTGACATGCAGAAACATTATGTGTTGTTTGCTTGATTCTAGCTATCCAGAGACAGGGAGAGAACGGAGACATTAGACTGTGTTCTTGTTAGTTTTCGACGGTTCCTCAGTGTCTACAGAACTAAAGCAAATCGATATATTCCAGGACCAACAGGAGGACGAATGTGCCCGTCGAAAGACTCAGTATTCAGCTGATACTGGGAGGATCATCCCTCCATCCACCAAGTCGTACCAGCGCAGATCTCATTCCCAGCACCTGAAGCATCCTCAACCCTTCCAGGATCAAGAACTGACGGTGAGACGCGCCTCCACCGATCTCGATTTCCTTTGTGTTCATCCAAAAGTTTCATTTTGGAAATGAATCCCAGCTGAGTGATATTTTATCTCAGTGAAGACGGCTCTGAAAGCAGAGCTCCAACATTATAAGAACTAAGCTTTTGCTGTAAGTTTACGCTTTGCTTTGCTGTTAGAAAAAAATAACCTTTCATCGCAGCTTTGTCACCGAGAACCTCAGGAAGCTGGAAGATGTAACTTGTACATGTCTTGGTGGTGTGTGAGCTCACGCTGTGATGGTCTGCTGTCAGGTTCTGGAGCTGCTCTGTCAGATCCTGCAGACGGACTCTCTGTCCACGGTGCAGCAGTGGCTTCTGCTTGCAGGCCAAAGAGGTAAAACACGTGATTCCACACAAACTAATGGATGAAGACTAATGCTCTCTAGTGCACCTCCACCCACAAGTTGTACAACACCTGACACACTGAGGGCTAATGGCCGTCTGTTTACGTCACCTGGGTTTTTAACAGATGGTTGGCAAATGGTCAAAATCATGGTTTGCTGCTTAAATTTTAAACTAATTCACATAAAAAAGAACACCAGCCTTGGGTTCTGCATCTTAAATAGTTTTAAAAAGCCAATACTTTCATTTTATTGCAATTTAATATGATTTTTAATTTCATAACCGTATTTATCGCTGACTGAAAGCTTGTCATAAGTTGTTCTTACCACATAAAACACTATAGAAACGGTTCTTTTTGTTGTGCCTCCTGCTGCAGAGAATCTGATGCATCAGTTATGAGTTTATAAAACTGTCTCCATAATTACACTGTAAATGTCCTACACTGATGAATCTTTAAGCAATTTAGTTATATTATAAAAAACATTGTGTGACTTTGAAACTGTAAAAACATCATAAATGATAACTTCAGGGCTCAAAGAAATACTGCCAAAAAATAAATAAATAAATAAATATTGCAGCACATCTGATGCACACATTTTCAACAACACAACAAAATAAAACATTGTTTTAGTGACTACATGCTGCCTCAGTCCAGTTGCTTTCTTACTTTTTCTCCTACACTCTGAGGCGTCTGCAAATACCCACAACTCCTCTTTAAACGTTCTCTGCAGATGACTTTTTAATCTTTAATGGGTTTAAATGAGCTTCGGTCCAAATGCAAACGCTCATTTAAACATATTTGTACAAATGGAGTCTCATTCGACGTCCCTTTCTCATACTTTGAGTGGTTCTGGTTCGAGTCGCAGCCCGCAGGCAGCAGTCTTCAATTTATTCGTCTACTTTCTGTCACCGTGCTGATTATTCACTAGAGCACATCTGCCACGTGCCTCGTGGTTTCAGTACTTTTTCAGTTAATAATGACTGATCTCGTCTCAGAAACTTGTACATCAAATATAATACAAACGGCATAATAGCTCGTATGAATGGACTTTGTTGTCTTGTTGTTGTTCTTTGGCTTATTTCTGTTGCTGACTTGTAGAGCAGGGGGTGTAGTTTCTTCTTCCTTTTATAAATATGAGCCTCATCTGTGGTGATTATTGATATCTTAGTATTTTTTTAAAAATGCTGAATGCATTCATGAACTCTAGTTAAAAAGATTTCCTGTTCTATTTTCTACTGAATGCATATATTTGCCTGTGTCACCGTACTACCTCCTCACAGAGAAAGACCTGGTGATGGGGATGCTCAGACGAGCCCTGGATGCCGTCGACCTCTCGGGCCGTAGCCAGCGGACCTTCCAGGCTTTTCCTCCAGGAGCGTCTCCGCTGGTCTACGATCCGTCATTTGAGCGGCCGTGGAGGAAACCACAGAGAGCGAGGTCAGAGCAGCTTCATCAGGTTTCTCTGCTCACTGATATTTTAAGGTTAATGTGTTTGTTTACCTCCACAGCTCGTACAAAGCGAATCAGACTTCCAACGATGACAAACCAGGTAACTCTTTGTTTCTCATGTTTTTCTAATTTGCTGATTATTATTATTAACAGAATAATTTTTGCTCCTTTTTTGTTTAATTGGCATCATGGAGTATTTTGGATGTTTTCATCATTTTATGAGCGTCCTTCTCTCTCTCTATCTTCTCTCTCGAGTCTTTTTAGCTTCAGGAGGTCGTGAGAATCATTAAAATCATTCATCCAGCTCCTCTTTTGAAATGATCTGTGTCGTCCAGTCAGTTTGTCTTGATTGATTTGTCCGTTGTATTTATCTTTAAGGACTAACATGCTATGAAGTCTCTCCTGGAGCTCAGTGCAGTCAGAGCAGTGGTCCTGCAGTCTCTCACTGTGCAGGAGCTGATCTGTGTTGTTTATTCCTGAATAATAGTGTCGACAAAATGCTGCCTCTCCTGCAGAAATGAGTTACACAGTCTGAAAGAGATTAAAGGATCTGTATCTGGGATGTTAGTTAGGTGTTGAAAAAGAGCCACTTTCAGATCTGAAAAGAAAGTATTGCTTCTTACATAATGAGTTTCCATTTTATTCAGACCAGAGCAGGTGTAAACATGCTGTCCTTGTAGGAATCTGACTCGAGTGTTTCTCCGCAGAGAGGATCGGAGATGCAGAGGTCCTCCAAATCCATGCAGAACCTCAGGATGGTCCTCAAGATCCTTCACCTCAGAGTGCATAAGGTTGCTTCATTGTGACTGCGTTGCAATACGGCCAAGAACCGGTTCCCCTGTTTGGTCCTCCCATGATGAATTTATCACAAGTTATCTTTAGCATGCAGCATCTTTGCTTTGTGGTTATTTCTTCCTAGCTGGTTTAGTCAGAGGACTACACCAGAGCGCTTTTCATTTTCACTTCATTAACACGATGTAGCTGTGATGGCGTCGCCGGATACTGTGGGTGATGCCATGGTGTCCATCAGCTCTCTGAAGTGGTTTAACCGAGTAAGGAGACCTTCTACTAACTGTTGCTTGATGTGAAATAAAATGCAAAACTGGATTAAAAAAAATGTGTCCACTGAAACATAATGTAAACAAAAGCCCAAATCGGAGTGGAACTACACATTGGATGATAACTTTACTGACTTTGTTTGCAGTCATACGACACGGTGTGACTGAGGATGCTGAATGGTTCTCCTGGAGCAGCAAACCCTCCTTTGCTAAATGTACAGAAACCTGCAGCAGGACAGATGATCTCATTTACTTTGAAATATACTGATGACACCAACGTCTGATTTGAGTTTCAGTGCAGGCTTCACTTTAGAAATGTGAACTCATGCATAAGGCATGCCCCACATTAGCATAACTCTAACGGAGGAGCTATAACCTTCACTCTGTCTCTTCTGTTGTGGATAAAACGCTCACCTGAACACTACAGCACAGTAAAGCAAAGGTTTACATACACTTACAAAGACTGTAAGTCGTGAGTATCCAGTGACTCCATGATGCAATGACATGCGTCTTTATCACAAAAACATTCATCCTTTAATGTTCTTTCATAGATTTATTATAGGATTCTAGAAATATGACTCAATCTGCTGGGTCAGAAATGTACGTACAGCAATTCTAATATTTAATTAAATGTTCTTTTGTCTGTTTTTACCTCATTTGGTGCTTTTAGTAGCTTCTGGTTGGATCTTTGACCGCTCCTGTAGATAGAAGTGGTGCCATTTGACTACATTTGTTGGCTTTCTGACACGAGCTTGTTTAAGTCTGGACTTTGGGAAGGCCAACCTAAAATCTTTCTTGCTTTCTTGCTTGCTTGCTTGCAGAGTTGTTGTGTTGCCCGACTGTCTCCATGATTCAACCTTCTGGCTGATAGTTTTATTTTTTCTGAAAGATGTGGAAGCAATCCATCTTTTTCTTCATTATTTCATTTACTTTGTGTAAAGCACCATTTCCACTAGCAGCAGAACAGCCCTGTAGCATAACGCTGCCACCACCGTGCTTGACGGTCGGCCGGGTGTTCTTGGACCGAGTGTTCCTGCTCATTGTGACCAAATGGCTTCATTTTTGTTTTATGTGACCACAAAACTTTTCTTTAAAAGGCCTTTTGCTTTGTCTATGTGATAAGAATTAAGTCGAGCCTGAAGGTGCTGCTTCTGGAGGACGAGCTTCCTTCTTGCTCAGCTCATGCAAAACACCGCAGACGCTGACTGTTGTTTTCAGCAGCTTCTAATTTATTGCAGTCCTGCTTTTTGGTGATTCTTGACTGACTGTTGACCGTCCCGACCAGTCGTCTCTCAGCAGCAGTCAATAGTTTGTGTTTTCGTCCTGATCGTGGCAGTTACACAGCTGCACCATGCAGCACTTTATACTTGGAAACAAGCATTTGCACGACTTCAAGTGACTTCCATCTCTTGCTCAACTTGGTGATTTGCTTCTCCTCCGCTCCTCAGACTCTCCCATTGGAGCGTTAGCGGCTGAGTCTAATGAGTGCATCAGATGGGAAGCAGCTGTAGCCAATCGTAATCACTCACCAGACGTTAAGTGGGCCATGGCACTTAGAAAATCTGATTAACACAGCTTTCTACATCCCCGAAAATGATCATTCAAGTTGCTGCATGTACATTTTTGACCCAGCAGCTTTTGTTGTATTTCTAGGAAACCTGTAATAAATCTCAAGTTTCAAGAACTTCGTTGCCATTTGCACACGCAGTTCGGAAAAAGTGTTTTGATGTCTTTACAAGTGTATGTAAACTTTAGTTCATGACTGTATACAGCATCGTAGATCAAGTTGGATTCAGCCAGATATTAAGACTGGACTGGCCTTACCTTGAAGTAGCTGACTCAGATTGTCAAGCTAGCTCAAGGGTGTTCTCGTTACCAGGGCTGTCGAATCCTGGTCCTGGAGGGCCACAGTCCTGCATGTTCTAGATGTTTCCCTTCTTCCATCACACCTGATTCAAATGATCAGCTCATCATTAAGCTCTGCAGAAGCCTGATAAAGATCCTGATCATTTGAATCAGGTGTGTTGGAAGAGGGGAACATCTAAAAGATGCAGAACTGTGGCCCTCCAGGACCAGGACTGGACACCCGTGCGTTACACAGTACCATGACTCCAAGCTGCCAAAATACGAATATAACAGAAGTAAACATAGGAAAGAATGGCTCCTGTGATGGCAGATGAAGCGAGGTCTTTACCATGATGACAGTCGGTTGCATGTAAGAGCGAGAAGAGAAATGTGTGACGGCAACAAAGGAAGCTAAACAGTCAGCTTCCTCTCCACAGATGATGATGATCGCACCATTACAAGTAAAAACCCTTCATTCAGCAGGTTTCATTTTCATCAGAATGCACTTCAGGTGGGTATTCATCTCATATAAGGGGATTATTAGCTGACACACTAAAGCAGCTGTTGTAGACCTATTATGCCACGAAGGGTTTTGCAATTAACCCTGGCTGTGGTCGTCTCGTAGCTCCACTTGTAGCTCGCCTTCAGCTGCTAATGAAGAGCGAACCACTGGAGGGATGTGCTTGGTGACTGGCATTGTTGAGTTCACTGCAGGAAACTTCTTATTTTACTTCTGGGCAGGTAAAATATCCGAGTAGGCAGCTTTAGTGTCACGCAGCTTTTCCATGATGCCATTAGGCTGAGTTAGACGGTGAAATCAGCTCAACAGACTGATAGGATTGTACGCCATCGGAGAGGCGCACTTGGAATATGAATGAACCGACCTCTTCATGAACTGCTGTTAAAGGGTAATCAGGTTCAGATTATTCCATATATGTTAATTCACTCACATTGCTATGCCTATTTCATTGTAAATGAGACAGATAAAGATTAACTTTTCCAGCCACACTGGTATCATTTTTAATTTACTGATCTTTGATAATACAGAAATCCAAAGACAGATGTCATGCCTACACTGTTATATTACAATAACGATGTCATGGGTTTAATTGATTGTACTGTTTAGAATTAACCCCAGAAACCTTGTTGAGTCTCAGGCTTCTCGTTTTATTTATAAAAGCATTTGAAGTCGCAGTGTGGAAGCTTCAGGTACATGCTGGTGTACCTGGACGGCTGCAGCAGTGTGATTAAATCCACACAAAAAGCTCTCGTATGAACGTGATTACCAAACCGGTGAAAACCTCTGTCCCTCTGAGAAATCCTCTGCTTCATGTTTAAATTATGTCGTCTGATGAAAACTCTCACCTCAGCCAGCTATGTTAGTGCGTTCTCTGAGGCTGATTAAAAACCGCTCAGGATCCCTTCGCTCCAGGAGACGGCCTTCGTGAGTTTGCTTTGAAAAAGGTCATTTTTTAATCATAAGTCCCATAAAAACCTTCCGACTCCCACACAGAACGACAAAGTCAATTCAATGCTAAAGTATTGCAAAACATCTTCAGGGAGACGTAAATACCTGAACATAATTTCATGGCGGTCCAACAGTGGTTGAAATATTTCACCCTGAGCAAATCAGAGGTGAAGCAACACCTTCAGCCACGGCGTGGTGTCCGTGTGAGATGTTTTTCCAATCAGTGTTGTCGAGACTTTTCAGCGTGGTTGCCGCTAGAATGGTTAAAAGCATATTTAAATGTTGCGTAATATCACTTATTTTCCCGTCAGCGCAGCGTCCATTCAAAGAGAGAACGACAAAGCTAACCTTGAGAGCGTTCTCACGTTGGTGGATAATTGTGTGCTCGTGTATGAGTCCTATTAGCGAGAAGATGATTGAGAAAATAGGTTTTCAAGGCCTTTGAAATGTGTCGCATATCGAGGAAAGACGTAGCTGAAGCAAAGTAAATGGTGCGTTTATGAAGAGCGATTTCCAGCCATAGAAGCATTTGGAGCGCTAACAAGTATTTACCACACCGCCTCGTTTATATGACAAGAAAGAACCCCTGATGATGTGTTCTTAGAAGTTCAACAACAAGGGCATAGCAAGGAAGGCACAGAGGAATGAGGTCCTTTTAACCAGGGCTTTGGATAAACATGCAGTACTTGTTAGAAGGATCAATGATTTTGGTCTTTTCATTGATATGTTGACATTAAGATAATTATCACCCTGATCCCAGTGAGTGTGGAGAGAGTCTGGGACTTCACAGATCTGCAAATGCTAGAGGAAGCAGCGCTGCAGACTCGTGTATAAGCCGTTTGAGGGCATGAAGGGATTATTTTCATGTAGGAACACTTCAAAACATGTGATTTGGACTCAGAGAAATGAGTTTTTAGAGGTTAAATCAATGACGGGAATAGTCAGACGATCACCAGTCGGTGGATATCTGTACCAAATATCAACTTTAAAAGTTTTACACTAACTTTTTAATGAGGTCATGTTGTGATGACAGCTGGTTCTGCCTCCTAAAAGTAATATTTTTTTTCCTCTGCATCTGTCGTAAGCATTGCTGCCGCTTGTACAGACACATTCGTTTAGGTTTCAAATAACACTTCTCCTGAATAACAGCATTCTTTTAATTCACCAGTTAGTTCTGACTGCAGGTGACTGATTGCCTGCTACAGCTAATTAGAGCTAAAATTATGAAGAGTTAGGATGACCGCAGTTGTTTGGATTAAGGCCAGCTTTAACACTTGGTCGTGGTCTCGGGTTTGGTTCAGTTACTTCCTGTTTTATTTTGTAAAGCTTCCTGTCGCTATGTTGTGTCTTTTGTGGTTTTACTGCCTCCCTTCGTCTGTTTGATTGTCCTCATCAGTGTCGTCTGTGTCTCGTCTCCTTAATCAGTTCAGTGTACGTATAGAGCTGCGTTTCACCTCTCATTTGTCACTTTATCCTGTCTGCCACCCTTCTGTTCACCAGGGTGGTTTATTGCTTTGTCGCCTTTTTGGTCACCGGTTGGCGTCCCGGTGAGGACACCCGGGATCTTTCTGCGTGGAGTCTCCATGTTCTCCCCGTGCAGCGTGGGTTCTCTCCGGGTTCTCCGGCTTCCTCCCACAGTCCAGAAACATGCTGAGGTTAATTGGTGATTGTAAATTGTCCGTAGGTGTGAATGTGAG